ACCATGCCCCGGAAGCGATCCATCAACCGGCTTCCGCCAATGTACTGGTGGAATGATACTGTTGCTTCACTCCGTAAGGAGTGTATCCGGGCGAGGAGGTTGTCCCAGAGAGGCTGAAAGAAGCTCAACTCAGACAAACTGGAGGCAAAGCACGAGGAGGCACGGCGACGACTTGCCAAAGCCATCAGGTGTAGTAAGAAGCGGTGTTGGGATGAGCTCCTGGAAGAGGTCGACGGTGATCCGTGGGACCGACCCTACAAAGTGGTCATGACACGGCTGAAGAACCAGCCGATGCCCCCATCCACGTGCACTGCGTTACTGGACAGGATCGTCACGGTGCTGTTCCCGCAGCAGCCCGTCTGAGACCAACAAATGGAGCGAAGCGAGGAGGAAGCTTTTCCACCTGTGACAGCTGAGGAGCTGAAGAGAGCGTGTACAAAAGTGGGAAACAGCCATCAATGCAGCGCCAGAGATGTTCCTGAACATGTACAACACGTGTCTCACGAAATGCACTTTCCCTGCAAAGTGGAAATCGCAGAGGCTGGTGCTTCTTCCTAAGGGGAAGAAATTGCCGGACGAACCATCATCTTATCGTCCACTCAGCATGCTTGACACGGCCGGAAAAGTCCTAGAACGGATTATCTACGGCAGAATCTATGAAACATCCGAAAAACACCTCTCGGACAAGCAGTTCTGTTTCCACAAGGGTCTCTCCACGCTCGACGCCATTGACTTGGTGGTCAGTATTGCAAGGGATGCGATGGCCGGCGAAAGGTGGAAGGGCGGAGAGAAGCAGTACTGTTTTGTGGCAATGCTGGATATCAAGAACGCTTTCAATTCTGCCAAGTGGGACTGCACCATTGGGGCCCTAACGAGGATCGGTGTCCCAGGAAACCTGCGGAAGATAGTAGCCAGCTATTTCAGTGACAGAATCCTGACGTACGACACGGAGAACCTCAAGGCTCAGTACTCGGGGCTCTCCTTTGGAACATCATGTACGATGCACTCCTCAAGCTCGTGCTGCCAAGAGCAGTGACACCCGTGGCCTTCGCTGATGACGTAGCACTCGTCATCGTGGCGAAACTCTTGGAGGACAATGAAAAACCTCTTTGATGTCGCATTCTCGAAAATTCGCGGGTAGATGGAGTTAGTCGGCTTGAAGCTCGCGGAATATAAGACGGAGGCGGTGCTGATCACTAGCAGGAAGAAGCTCAAGAACATCATGCTATGAGCCGGCGAGCATGAAATCACCTCTCAACCATTCATACGGTATCTGGGGGTGATGATTGACTCCCCTGGCGGACTTCTTGATTGCGCTTCGATCAGTTGTGGATTGAGAAATTGAGTTACTCAGTATGTCGATTAGAATTCGATTGTAATTCAGTTGAGATTTCGAATCAATGGTCAAATCCGTTGCAAGTGAATGATTGCAATCGACAACAAAAAATCAATTGCAAGTGAATTTGGGAAGGAAAAAAAATGGAAACGAAACTGGAAAGATTAATCAAGTGGTCGATCATGAGTCGATCGAATCCCAATCGAGTTTCAATCGAATGCTAATCAACATACTGGCAACTCGATTCCTCAATCGACAGGTCCGTCAGGGTCACGGCTCAGTTTCAAGCAGCAGGCAGAGCAAGTCAGCATTAAGGCATCTGCGGTTGGGGCGCCGAAAACAGAAGTATTCGGAGATCCTCACACGAGTGAAAAAGAACGTCCCTAATGCACAGTGTGAAGGCGTCGACAAACTGCGTAGGACTGCAACGGGGGACATGCTCATTATCCTTGATAGAAAGGTAACCGACGAGGCCCCCCAGCTACAGAAAACCATCTCCGATCTCCTCGGAGACGAGGCTGAGGTGCTTAGTAAGGCGCCGCAAGAAGACCTGGAGATCAAGGACCTCGATGAGGCAGCGACGAAGGGGGAGGTGTTCGCAGCTCTAAAAGCGGCAGCTGGAGAGCAATACAACATCAATCTAGGAGCCGTCAAGTCCTTACGTAAGGCGTATGGAGGAACTCAGACTGCCTCAGTGACCCTTGCAGCAGGAGCTGCGAAGCAGATCCTGGGGGAGCATGGAAAGTTCAAAATAGGTTGGGTGAACTGCGCGTGAGAAGAGCGCACAGGCCGGTCAAGTGTTTCAAGTGCTGGCACTACGGACATGTAGCCACCAGATGCAGGTGCACAGTCGATCGTTCGAAGCTCTGCGTCAAGTGCGCAAAGGATGGATACAAGGCTAAGTATTGCAAGAAGGAGCCACGGTGTGTGGTGTGCACCGGAAACGGCAATTCAGAAAATTGTGCCCATATTGCTGGTAGTAGTAGATGCCCAGCATACAAGGAGGCACTTTAGAAGCTCACCAATAAAAGGCAATTATAAACGGAGGAACTGCAAGGTGCTACAGCTCAACCTCAATCACTGTGAGGACGAACACGATTTGCATAAGCAACCGTTTGCATAACAAACGGTGGGGGAGCTAAAGCATGACCTTGCCATGATCTCGGAGCCATATCGACATCTTGGTACCCAATCCTGGATTACCGACACTAGCAGGAATGCGGTAATATGGGCCTGTGGGAATCGTCTATTCCAAAGCATCACCAGTAGTATACAAGAAGGCTACCGTTGATGGAATTCATTTCTACAGCTGCTACGCCTCGCCGAGCCTTTCCATCGACGAATTCACGGACTTCCTAGATAGACTCACTAAGGATGCGAAGCAGCACCTTCCCGTGGCAATAGCCCAGGACTTCAATGCCTGGGCAGTCGACTGGGGAAATAAGGAGACAAACCCTAGATGGCAAGTGGTACTGGAAGCCATGTCACTGCTGGACGTGGTCCTGCTGAACAGCGGCGATGAACCAACCTTCATAAGGGGAGAGAAGAGCTCAATTGTGGACCTCACATGCGTGAGCAGCAACCTTGCAAAGGAGAACTATTCATGGAGAGTAACAGATATCTATACTCCAAGCGATCACCGTGCGATACTCTGGGAGACATGTACTCGCCAGAGTGCCGCCCGAATGCCTAAAAGAACCAGCGGCGTTGGCTGGAGAGTGAGCACCTTCGATCCTAGCTCTTACGCAGCAGCATTACACAGTCTCTCGATTAGTGGCAATAATGCTACTGAGAAGGCACACAACATCTTGAGAAGAGTGACAGAAGCATGCGATGCCACCATGACCAGGAAGCAGACTACGAACCGGCATCCACCGATGTATTGGTGGAATGACAGTATTGTCATCCTTCAGAAGAAGTGTAATACAGCCAGAAGGTTGTCACAGCATCGCCGTAAGAAGCCGATCTTTGAGGATCTGCAGATGAGATACAAGAAGGCACGCCAGAAGCTCAGCAAAGCCATAAAGCACAGTAGGAAGCAATGCTGGAGCGAGCTTCTCACCGAGGTAGAAAGGGACCTGTGCGGGAGACCTTACAAGGTGGTGATGACATGAATTAAAGGTCAACTAATGCGTCGCCATCGTGTCCTGTGCTTCTGGAGAAAATTGTAGAGGTGTTGTTCCCGCAACAACCGGAACGTCCCCAGCCTGCTGAACAACGAAAGGAAGTGACGATGCCAAAAATCACACGAAAAGAGTTGTTGGAGGCCTGTAAGAGAGTGGGTAACACCAAAGTTTCTGGCTTAGATGGAATCGTAAACGTTGCGCTGAAATCAGCCATCCACACGATGCCAGAGCAGTTCTTCAACGTTTACGAGTGCCTTAGGGAAGGCATTTTCCCTGCCATGTGGAAGCAACAGAGGCTAGTATTGCTCCCAAAAGAAAAGAAACCAGCGGACGAACCCTCACCATATCGTCCCCTCTGTATGCTCGATACCGCTGGCAAAATTCTCGAGCGTATCGTTCACCAAAGAATAGAAGCAGCAGTTGAACCTCTACCAGCCGAAAATTAGTATGGTTTCCGGAGAGGTCGATCCACACTAGAGGCCATCAACCTTGTCATCGATAGTGCCAGAGAAGCGATTTCAGGGAGAAGATGGCTTAACGGCACGATGAAGTACTGCTTAGTAGCAATGCTGGACATCAAGAATGCCTTCAACTCAGCCAGGTGGGGCTGTATTATGGAGGCTCTTGCGAAATTCAACGTACCAGCATACCTACGGAGGATGGTTGATAGCTATTCTACAGGAAGGGTCAGTACTGGGTCCCTTACTGTGGAACATCATGTACGACGGGCTGCTGAACCTGGAAGTGCCACGGGAGACTAAACTCGTGGCATTCGCAAATGGTGTGGTCATAGTCATCGTAGGAAAATACCTGGAGGACATCAACTTTATCTTCGACATGGCGTTTAAGATGATCAGCCGCTGGATGGACTCAGTGGGTCTGAACCTTGCGGATCATAAGACGGAAGTCATGTTGATCATCAGCAGGAAAAAATCGAGACTATCACGCTGCAGGTCGGGTCTTGTGAAATTGAACTTCAAGCAGCAGGCAGAACACGTGGGTACCAAGGCGTCCGGAGTCAGATCTACCTTATCACGCCTCATGTCCAACATCGGAGGTCCCAAGCAAAGAAGACGAGCGCTGCTGTCTTCAGTAGTTACATCGGTGCTCACGTATGGTATTCTCATTTGAGCCGACGTACTCCAGCTGCAAGAAGCACGGCGTAAAATCGCGCCAGTCTATTGGCTGAGTGCCCTCAGAGTTGTGAGTGCATATCGGACGGTGTCCGAGGATGCAGTGTGTATCATCGCCAGGATGTTATCCATTGAAGTACTAGCCGAGAAACAAAGATCCCTGGAGTGTGGTCCCGAGGGGAGTGTGGTCCCAAGGAGTACAGAGTTACAGGAGGGGTCCCTCAAGTCTCAGTACTGGGCCCTCTCCTGGTGAATATCATGTATGATGAGCTGCTGAAGGTGACATTGCCACAGGATGTGAAACTTGTGGCATTTGCGGATGACGTGGCCGTAGTCATCATGGGGAAACACCTGGAGGAGATCAACTTTGCATTTGATATGACTTTTGAGACGATCCGCTGCTGAATGGATACAGTAGGCCTAAAGTTGGCGAAACACAAGACCGAGCCCGTGTTGATCACAAGCAGGAAGAAGATCGAGACAATGACACTGCAAGTCGGAAATTACGAACTTACTTCCCAGCCGTTCATTCGGTATTTGGGGGTAATGATCGATGCCCGACTCAACTTTAAACAACAAGCAGTGAACGTGGGTATAAAGGCATCTGGGATCAGAGCGTCCGAGTCGCGCCTCATGCCCAACGTAGGAGGCCCTAAGCAGAGGATACGAGCGCTACTATCGTCGGTGGTCACGTCGGTGCTCATATATGGTATTGCCATCTGGGCTGATGCTCTGCAGATGCAGGAATTACGGCGGAATGGGGCACTAGTCTTCCGACTGAGCGCCCTCAGAGTTGCCAGCGCATACCACACTGTGCCCGAGGATGTAATGTGTGTCATCGTCGGGATGTTGTCCATTGAAGTACTAGCCGAGGAACGAAGATCCCTGTACCGGCGGAAGCGATCTGAAGTACTGAGTCCCGAAGCACTGGCGGTAGAAGAAAGGCGAAGCAGCCTGAAACGATGGCAGCTGTAGTGGGAAAATTCCACCAGATGAAGATGGACTTATCATCTGATTTCGAAGATGGATGTCTGGCTAAATCACGACCATGCAGAAATCAACTATTATCTCACACAGATGCTATCGGGACATGGGTGCTTCCGGGAGTATCTTCATAAATTGAAACATGAGGATTCCTCGGAGTGCCCGACCTGCATAGGAATGGATGAGGATGCGGAGCACGTGTTTTTTAGATGCCCACGCTTCAGCGACATCCGAAGTACATGGGAGACTGCACTCGGGCGGCTCTTGCCTGGGAATGTGATGGAAGCTTTGCTGTCATCGCAGGCAGCCTGGGACACAACGAGCAACTTGGCGGTCCAAGTCATGAAGGAGCTCCGAAATGAGGAGCACAAGCGCAAAATTGCAGAATAGAGGCAAAACCTGTTAGAACCTCCTACCCTCACACAACATCTTAGTAGGGCAGGGGGGCGTATAATAGGCTTAAACGACGAGGAAGAGTAAATAGAGCTGAGACCTCCCTCGCAAAGTAATAACTAAAAATGGTGCCGCGAGGAAAAGTAGGGTCGACGAATTTTCGGGGTCAAGTGGTTTTAGTGGGTGAGGGTCCCACACAGGGTGTAACAGTAACCGCCATGTTACTGCCCACTATCGTGCGGTTAGGTACATTTTGCCGCAAGACCTCAGAAGGGAGAAAAANGGGGGGGGGGGGGGGGGGGGGGGGGGGGGGGGGGGGGGGGGGGGGGGGGGGGGGGGGGGGGGGGGGGGGGGGGGGGGGGGGGGGGGGGGGGGGGTGTTGTCTGGGCCGGTGGGCTGACCGCGGTGGCATGCTGACCGTTCGGTTGGCTTTGTTGACCGCTCGGTCGGCTTGCTGACAGCCGGGTCGGCTCACATGCCCAGGGGACTGAAGCTTCGCTCCCGCGGACCAAAAGCGGCGTGCAGGGTGGGTTCCCTACAACAGCCTTCAACAAAGAGAATCGGGACGGCTCCCGTCAACTGTATTTGCAATGAATAGTGATGATAAAATGCAAAGTTCCCATGCGGGCATACCGGATGAGGTTAATCCCGCCACCAGTTCCGATCGGGTGCACGCCCCGGTGGCTGGTGCCGGCTCCATGGATTGCGGGAGGAGCCAATCATCACGTCCTGCAAAGGTGGACCCCTTGGCCTTAGATACTACAAGTGGGGGAGGGTCTCAGACCCAACATGAGAAACAATGGCTTCCAACATTCCAGCGAGTCGGAGCACTCATCTATGACCTACAGAAGTGCGTCCAGCCCAAGCAGAACATCCACAAGGAGATCAAATCCAAAGTGGTTGCCATCTGCAGGCCTTCAATCGGCCGGAGGACCTGGAGAGGGCACGGGCTAAAGCCCAAACCTCAGCTGCTGAGGTGGTCCAAGGGACGGGACCAACACTGTTACTGCGCTCACGTAGGGACTCTGAAATAACCGCTAGAAAAACGATCTCAGGGGCGAGATGGTACAGGAGCACAAAGAAGTACTGCATAGTAGCGACACTGGACATCATATTATGGAGGCCCTCGAGAAGTTCGACATACCTGAATACCTTCAGAGGATGGTGAACGATTACTTCACCGGGAGGGTTCTCAAGTACGACACGGAGTGTGGCCCCAAGGAGTACAGAGTCACTGGAGGGGTGCCTAAGGTCTCGGTACTGGGTCCTCTCTTGTGGAATATCATGTGCGATGGCCTGCTGAAGCTGACACTGCTACCCGATGTGCGTTTTGTAGCTTTTGCCGATGATGTGGCCGTAGTAGTCGTGGAAAAACAGCTGGGGGACATCAAACTTGGCTTCGAAATGACTTAAGCATAAAACCGAGGCCGTGGTGATTACAAGAACGAAGGTCTTAGAGACAATTACGCTGCAAGTCGGGGTCTATGAGCTCACATCCCAGCCGTACATTCGGTACTTAGGGGTGATGATCGATGCCCGGCTCAACTTCAAACAGCAAGTGGAACACGTGACCACCAAGGCATCCGGGGTTCGAGTCACCTTATCACGCCTCATGCCCAACATTGGAGGTCCCAAGCAGAGGAGACGAGCTTTACTGTCGTCGTTGATTACGTCAGTACTCACCTACGGTATCGCTATTTGGATGGATGCACTCCAAGTACAAGGGATCCGACGCAAAGTGGCAGCGGTTTACCGACTGAGTGCCCTCAGAGTTGCCAGTACTTTTCGCACTGTCTGACGATGCCGTGTGTATCATAGCCGGAATGATGCCGATAGAAGTATTAGCTGAGGAACGAGGATCTCTGTATCGGCAAAAAGGATCGACCTCACTGAGCCCAACCGAGCTCAAAGCAGAAGCGAGGCGTAAGAGTATGGAGAGATGGCAGTCACAGTGGGGCACCTCACTGAAAGGGCGATGGACGTATCGCCTGATACGTCCATCGCCCCCTGATCCCTCAGGTAGGTGCTTGGGTATATCATGAATATGGCCAGGTAAACTATTACTTGACTCGGCTGCTTTCAGAACATGGGTGTTTTCGGGCATACCTTCATAAATTCAAACATGAGGATTCCCCGAATTGCCCCTCCTGTACAGGTACTGAAGAAGACGCAGTGCTTGTGTTTTTCGTATGTTCACGTTTCAGAAAGAGCCGCTCGGAGTGGAAGTCTGCACTTGGTGAAACGATCCTGCCTGAGAGCCTGGTGGAAGCAATGCTATCATCGAAGGCAGCCTGGAACGCAACAAGCGACTTCGCGGCGAAAGTCATGAAACAGCTCCGTGAGGTAGAGCGCCGTCGAAAGAACGCTGTATAGGAGGAAAAGCTAGCGGAACCTCCTTCTCACCGCTAATATCTGAGTGAGGAAGGAAGAAGTACGGCCCAGCGTTTGAACAGCAAAAGAGCTACAGCTAGAATGTCCCCCCCCGTGAAGTAATGCCTGGCGGCGGTCCCGCGGGGAGTATGGGGAGAGGAGAAAGGGGAAGAAAAGGAGGTTCTACTAGGTAAAAATCCCAGATCTGGTTTTTAACATCACTTTACCAGAATCTTTCGAAGATTTCCTTCAAAACTCTATAATAAAAAAAAAGAAAACACACACACAAAGATAATGGTTCCACCAATCACCAAAGAAGAATTGATGGAAGCCTACAACAGAGTGGATAACACCAAGGCGCCTGACCTTGATGGAATTGACGTCTACAACGAGTGCTTGAGGGCACCTCTGCATGCTAGATACCGCTGGCAAGATCCTCGAGCGTATCGTCCACCAAAGGATAGAAGCAGCAGTCGAACCCCTGTTGGCCGAGAACCAATATGGGTTGGGAAAAGGCCGATCCACCCTAGACGCTATCAACATGGTCGTCAACACAGCCAGGGACGCGATCTCAGGGAAAAGAGGGCTAAATGGCACAAAGTACTGCTTGGTAGTCACGCTAGATATGAAGAATGCATTTAACTCGACCAAGTGGGTCCGTATCATCGAGGCATTATTGAAATTCAACGTACCGGGATACTTGCAGAGGATAGTTGGCAGCTATTCCACTGGAAGAGTCCTTGAGTACGACACGGAGTGTGGATCCAAGGAGTACCGAGTTAACGGAGGGATACCTCAAGGTTTAGTACTGGGTCCTTTGTTATGGAATATCATTTATGACGGATTGCTGAAGCTCGGATTGCCGCGAGAAACTTAGCTCGTGGCATTCGCAGATGAGATAGCTGTAGTCATCGTGGGCAAATACTTAGAAGAGATCAATTACAGCTCCGACACGACCTTCGAAACGATCCGCCATTGGATGGATGCCGTGAGACTGAAGCTGACGGAGCACAAAACGGAAGCTGTACTGATCACCAGCAGAAAGAAAATTGAAACAATAACGCTGCAGGTCGGGTCCTGCGAAATTACTTCTCAACCTTTCATCCGATACCTGGGGGTGATGATCGATGCCCAACTCAATTTCAAGCTGCAAACCGAGCACGTGGATGCTAAAGCTTCTGGAGTCAGATTCGCTTTATCGCGCCTCATGCCCAACATAAGAGGTCCTAAACAAAGAAGACGAGCTCTACTGTCATCGGTCGTTACGTCAGTGCTCACCTACGGCATTTCCATCTGGGTTGATGCATTGCAGTTGCAGGAAGCACAGCGGAAGGTTGCACCAGTCTATCGACTAAGTGCTCAGCGAGTTGCGAGCGCTTACCGTATAGTATCGGAGGACGCAGTGTGTGTTATCACCGGGATGCTCCCCATAGAAATATTGGCTGAAGAGTTCGTGCTTTTTGAATGAGAAAATTTCCAACGCAGTGATAACTCCTTAAATATCGGTTTACAACGCCGATCATGCACCATTCTTATATTTGAGCGTTATACTAAAGCATTCTGTGTACGCCAAAAGAAGCCGACATATGGGACCTGTTCTCCACACAGTCTAATACATACATGCATACAGACATCACCTCAAAATCATATATTCGATTTTTTCAGACCATGTTTAGTTACCCCAACACAACAAATTGGAAACTGAAATTTGAACGATTACATAGCTTTCATTCGGAAACAACTGTAAAAAAAATTGTTACTACATACCCACACACCCACTGAAATGCTTACATACAGTCAGTCTAAAAATATTATATTCGGATTTCTGAGGCCAAAATTAATTCTCCTAACACAAACACTGGAACCTTGGATTTTAAAGATAATAATGTTTCCACTCGCAATTTACTTGCGAGTAAAAATCAACGTGACGTACAGAAAAATTGACTGCACCGATGGAGTAAAGTTAAACAGGTGAAATTTCGTATGTGCTATGCAAAAATTATCACATCTCAATAATAATAATAATAATAATAATAATAATAATAATAATAATAATCATTATCAGGATAAAATTTCTCTACCGAATACGGAAATTTTACCTTCATATACTTGTCTTATATCATTTCAATTTCATTGTTTAACACTCAATTTTTATTTAATTACGGTACATAAATGAGGAAACGATCGCTTATGATACACTTTCATAGCACTGTCACATAATTTTTATAAAATTTTTCTCTCCATGTAGGCTTTAACATGATTTCGTAAAAAAGCTTCTTCTCAACACTTTGACATTGAACTCATGATCTCAGTGATAATACACTGAGAAAAAAAATTCTAATATCTGAAACATATTTACTTGAGACAAGTAATTTTCCTTCAATCGCGTAATTCTCCCAGGCAGGTCTACTCACGTGGCCTGAGAAAGGTTTCATGCTTTAAAATATTCTTGTATTCAAGTATGATTTTGTCACAAATTAACTCACTCAAGTGGAGTTTAGTATGAACCAGCCAACTGAAGAAGTAAGTTAGGAAGATCTTTAGCATTGATCTATTAAATACATTAATGCTTCGAATAGAAGCTACCGCCAGTAATCCCTCTCCATTTTTCCACCACTACAATTAAGGAACTTCCACAGTAAGTTTATGGGCTATAGAGTGGGGGAAAATATCAAAGGTTCCGACAGTCCGCTGCATCGTTAGAAAAAAAAATAATGAAATTGCAAAAACATCATCACTGTATCCAAATTTCGTCGACTGGGTTTCTTCTCGTGTATTATTTATGACTAATCAATTATCAATCATTTCTGTTCCGAAATAAAATTTACATGATTTTTTTAATAAATAAAAATTGTTACGAGAGATCTAACAACCACGTATTTTCGTTCGACGCAGTTGGTATTCCTGTCTCCCTACAAAATCTTATACTGTACTGTAAAATCTATAGTACACGCCTCGACGGAGTGAACCGATGTAAACAACACGTGATGTTAGAGAGATTAACTTGAATTATATTGTGAATGATTGTACGGCAAAAACTGAATATCTAACGTAATAGAGGAATGAGTTGTCAAGATCGAGGTACAAGGGGGGATTTGTTAAACAGAAGACACTGGAGCGGACAAAATTTGCTGAACATGTGGGAAAGGCCAACAAATGGAGAAGAGTAAGCGAACCAGAGATCGAGACGAATGGTGAACTACCGGAGGTCGGGACGAGTGATGATTTACCGGTACTAGCGCCGCCGCGGTCGTAAGTGGCCGCGACATTGCTCCCTTTTATCTTTTTTCCTTCATTTTTTTCTCTTTAATTTTTTTTTCCAAAAACTAATCATCCATCAGCGTTCTTATCGTACTCCATATTAAGAGTAATGAAAATAATGTATCTCGATTCATCACCTGCTGAATTTCAATATTTCAATACGTGATTCCCTACTTCTAAATTTCTGTGCTCACTGAATAAGATGTGATAGATTTTTTATTTTAATTGTAATTAAAATTGGAGTTGTATTCAGAGTGTGATTTATCATGAAATTTCATATAGCTCAGAAATTTCCACTTTCATGCTCTATTACTCCCCTGTAAAAGCATTCAATTATTTTTCTGGGAAAATTATGTTACTGAATGTTTTGCCTTTTCACTAAATCGGAGTATCTTCTCCTTACTCATGATCTTTTGCATAATTCTATTCAAAGATTCCATCACTTATAAACTTTGGTGAATCACCTTAAATTTTCTCAAACTTCACATAAGATTCTGAAATTTTATAAATTTTTTTATGTAACTCAAAGATGTAAAATTGTTCAGAAAATTGGACGAATTTCTCGTTTTTCAAAAATATTTTCTCTTTTCTCACTTCAACCAATCAGAGTGTAGCCACGACGTTGATGCCCTTCCATTAAGCCTTTTCTTCTTTTTTTAAAATTTGTTTCAAAGTTAATTATTCATCGTCGTTCATATTGTACCGAGTGTCAAGATTAATGAGAACGATGCGTTTCGGTTCATTACCTGTTCACTTCCGATATTTCAATAAGCGATTCACTAATTTTGAATTTCAGTGCTCAATGAATAAGATTTTTATCATAATTATGAACGATATACTATTCAGAGTGCAAAACAATAATCATAAAATTTCTCATAACCCAAATTTTTCAGTCGCCGCCTCCTCTTTCATTCCCCTTTACACCGCTACTAAAGCATTCCATTATTTATCTGAGAAAATGAAATAAAAAATTCTGATTCTCTTTTGCTAAGTCAGAGTATCTTCTCCTCATTCTTGATCTTTTTCATAATTTTATTCGAGCATTCCATGAACTTAAAACTTTCATGAATTCTTTGTAATTTTTCAAACTTTCCATAACATGCAACATTTCTTGTGAATATTTGTTCAACTTGAAAATGTTGTAAAATTGTTTTTAAAAAATCCGAAAAATTTCTCAAATGTTCTAAATTATTTTCTCTGTCCTCAATCCAACCACTCAGGTGCAGTTTTCGGGGTCACGTGACATATTCACATCAGATTTATTTGGAAAATTCCACCGTCGCATATTATTTATTTTCCCATTGTTTATTCAAAAATTGTAGAACATTTGAGAGATACCAAAAATTTTCTCCAATTTTTGAAAAACCCGCGGATTTTCTCACATTTCTGTGGAAAACGTTACAATTGTGTTGGATTCATTGGGAAACTTCCAAATAATCTTGAATTTTGAAAAGGGACCGACAATTTTATGATTTTTTTAGGAAACCTGCAAACTTTCTTCAAGTTTCTATATAATTCATTCCCTATTTACCCTCTTAGAAGAGAATTTTGAAGAAAAGTTGAATCACATTTATTGATTTCTAAAAATCTTCTCATAATATGTAAGATCAGGAATAAAATTCCTCTAAAATTTTCATATTCCTAGGAGTCCGTAAGTTGAGGGGGTTCTTGCATATATTTTAGGTAGAGAACATTTTTTTCCTGGATTCTCTGTTTTTTGACGCGTTGATTCTAAATATCGA